AGCTGTTGTCTTTGTTCGGTTTGGTTTGGTTTGGTTGTTGTTGGTTTGGGGTTTTTTTGAACGGGGGGACCCGCGTGAGCATGAGGTGCCTACAGGTTTTGTAACCTAATTATTGAACTCCTTGGGAGAAACCTATTTGAATGTGTGTCTTGGCAAACATCAGATGTAGGTGGTGAGGTCGCACATGGGCCAAGGTGTGGAGGAATGGGTCCGTCTGGAGGGCGGATTTGCACTTTGTTGTGAGCAACTGTGCGAGGGTCTGCTGCTGGGAAGGGGGATTCTCCCTTCCGCAACGCCTTCCGCGTTCCCCGCCGTCGGCTGTTTTTGTCGTTGGAACTGGTTTGGATCTGGGACTAGCCGCCCCCATTCGCCCCCACCCCCACCTCGGCCGCCTCAGGCTTTTCTTCCCTCTCTGGCCCCTTCCGCGGCGGTGCTCGAGGTTCTCTAGGTGTTTCTATGACTACATTGTGTGTGTGGGAGGGTCAGATGTGGGGGTTGCCCGCGAGAGGGCCGTTCCTGGGCGATCATTTATCAATGTCACCCACATAATGATTCTCTCTGCAGCCTCCTATTGATGAGGATAATTACATTAGCTCAGAGTGACTGATCAATGAAAAACCACCACACAAAAACTTCTTTACTCCTCTATAATACCAAAAACCGATACAGAAATAACAGAAAGCCTGATTTTTCTTTCCCTTCCCTATCCACCAATGGATTCCGCCACCCCCTTCACCGCCTCTCTCCCCACCCCACCCCCCAAAAAAGGACGGGGGACTAAAGTAAGAAAATAGACCCAGGTTTGTTTCGTTTCAAGGAGGATGCAATTTTGCCCGCGAATGCATTTTCTTAAATGTGTTGGCTTCATTCCTCCTTTGGTAAAGAATATCAACGGATTTGCTAATGTGAGTTGCCTTTAGACTGGTCTGTGGTTTTCCTTTTTTTTTTTTTTTTTTAATTTCTTTCCTCCCCTTTGGGCATTTTTTTTTCTTTTTTTCTTTTTTTTCTTTTTTTTTGCTTCCAAAAAAGGGGACAATTCTTTTACAAAGAACTGGAAAGGGAAATTACTCTAGGCCCTCTTTTTTCTTAAAGCGTTTGTCTAAGTCGGGTTATCTTTTGTCTTTATCACTTCATAAAGTAGCGCAATTAAAGATGTGATGTTGCATGGGCATAAAGGGTGGATCCATAATACCGCGGCATAATACGCTATATTCTCGCCTGAAAGTTCGTAGTTAAATTACGATTTCGCTTTTTCTAGACTTCAAAATCAATATTTTCTCAATTAAAGAGAATTTTAATGCTTTACTTGCGAGTTGTTAAAGGCGCTGTAAATTTTATTGTCCTGCGCCTTGGCTTCGGAGTAGGTGCAGGAGGACCGGTTGGTTCTCGTGGTCCTTTTCCTCTCCCAGGAACACCCAGTGTGTCAGATCAAATGCCAGCAACAAAGGTAAGGAGAGTTCCTAGAGGGACGGGGCAAAGGGTGGGGAGCCCACCAGGGAGCCCTCCAATGCCAGAGGCCATTGTCTTGTATATTTTCACTTCTCTGTGTCCCGCCTCCTGAAAGTGACAGAAGTGTCCATTTTACTCTAATAGTTCTCAGAGAGGGGCACGTTCCACTCCCATCTGCTCTGTGACCGTCAGCGAAGAAGCTGCATTTGGGCACCCTTGTAGACTTTCCCCAGGGCTCCCCCTTATCTCTTTCCTTTCTTATTTCTCCGAAATTTAACTCCCAACTGGTTCTTTCACAAATTCTGCCATATTTTACATGTGTTCTGGCCTCTATGTCAGAACCCATTCCCCACACTCAAGAGCACTCACTGTTTACAGATGTTTTCTCCTTCCACACGTCCCACCTAGTAAAAGTTCCCGCAGAGAATTAACTGTGGTGTGTTAATAGCCCAGGTCTGCTACTGCTCTCTCCTACAAAGTTGAAATCTGGTAAGGTGGAGAATGGCATTGAACTAACTAACACTGGGGAGCTGCTTCAGGCCCACAGAAGCCCAAAGACTTGGGAAATCCAGGCCCAGGAGCTTGGTGGGAAGCAGGGTAGTGACATTTTCAGAATGTAAGACAGGAGGATAAGAAAATGAGACTAGAATGGATCCCAATAAAGCATGATAGGGCTAGGCAGAAAAATGAGCCTTTGGGACCTCTTTGTAATTTAAAAAGAAATAATCATGAAGGGGAATTGAATATCTAAGACTTATCATTATGATTATTATTCGTATCCAATATCTGTTTAAGAACAAGTTCTCAGAGATGCTAAGAAGGGCCTGAGTCTCCAAATGGAACTGCACACTCACAAAGTTCCTTTGCAGTTCCCACTTCAGTTAATTTGCTGGGAATGAGAAGACTAGGGAAAGGGCTATGTGTGTGGTGTACCAAGGGCTTAAGTAAGAGTATGATGGAAAGGGGCACCTAGCTATAATGAGGCTGCTATTTTAATCTGAATAAAGAAGGAGGGAAGAGAGAAAAAGCCACACAACACCACAATGCACTTTAAAGTAATTCTCACCTACCTGCCTTTCTTTTTCACTTTAGCCACACTATAAAATATTATACGTAGGTGGGAGAAATTACTAGTTCATCATCTTTTGTCTGTAGACCCACCAGATTGATCCCCTTTTCCCTTAGATTCCTGACATGTAAGCTTAGACCATGGCCTTTTTATCAAGTGAGTGGGGCTTTGTTAATGTATTTGTACTTTTCTGCTTTCAGTCTAAGTTTCTCCCTTCGGAGGAAGGAGGGGTGCAAGAAAAGAGGGGGAGGGGAGCAGAACACAAAGACTAGTTCTCACCAAGCAGGTTTCAAAATAGGAACTTAATGGGAAGAAAAGAAATGAAAGAATGAAAAAAAAAATAAAGGGGGGCGGTGAGAATTGTTTATCACAACAGGTTTACTTGTCTGGAAGAGAGGTGATTCTGTGAATATTTGTCTCTTTGAGGATTTTGTTTTCTTCATATTGAAACATTTTCAAATTTTAGCAGACAAAACCTCAATATAAATATGACATGGGCCACTGGCAAAAACAGAACTTAAACTCTGCTAAGAGAGGAGAGGGTGAGGGGAGGGGAGGGGAGAGAGCCCTTTCTGATTAATAACTAGCAGGGTAATGTTGAGGGCTTTTTCTGCCCGATTGCCTTTTTGAATTAGAGCCGATTTCTTCACACTTCAATAGTGCCTGTCTCCTTTAAAATGACTGGCAGATTTGTTTCTCTTTTTTCTCTCCCTGAGACTTAATGATGTAAATTTTCTAATTAGTTAAATCATATTGCTTAAAGGCCTAATATTTACCGTGTAAGAAATGATCATCCTGATTTGGACCTCTTGAAATATTCTGAGAAATAACACTTGGCTTTTAGGTTGAGGGATGAGAGAGGAGGAGGCTCTATTACGGGAAGCAGTTTAGAGGAAAGAAGGCGCGGACCCGGGCAACATGTTAAATTAATAGTTGAAGTTGAGCCGGGCTCACACCCCAAGTCCGCTTTTATTTTTCAATCAGCGAAGATTTAATTGGCAGCCCTCAGGCCTAGAGATCTGATATTTTCTCATTAGTTTCCCATCACTAATCTTGAGTGTTAGATTGGCTTAAAGGTTGTCAACATTTGACCAATTTTATTTAAGGGGAAAAAAAATCACTGCGTTATGGCTCCGGGATGTGAGATCTGCAAATAAATCCTGCTTGGATCAGCGGAACTAACAGGCGAAAAAAATGTTGACTATTCATCGTCACATTTAATAAGTTGTATTAATGTATATTTCAAGGCTAGGGAGAGATATTATACATGTGCTACATAGATGCAGATGAAAACAGGTTTATGGGGAGGGGGTGTATTATAAGCCGGGTGGGTAGGTAAAGTGAGACATAGGTACATTTCGAACGGAGGGTAAATAACCCAAGTGGAATAGCTGTTGAGGGTTTGGGAGCTACAGTTCCCCCTCCCTTTCCTTTTGCAGCTGCGTGAAACTGCAAAGCCTGTCTTGCAGCTCTGAACGGCTCGGCTGTCTCCTCCAGAGATAACGTCAGAGCGCCCCCTGCTGGTCAGCAGAGCGGAACGCTGCGGGTCAGCCCCCCGCGAAGCAAGTCGTGTGTTTTGGTTTTTTTTTCCGACGCCCCCCGCCCCCCTTCACGTACTCTTTCCTCTGCGCCCACCTCTGTTCTGCAGCACAACCCCGCATTATGGGACTAGCTTGTCAAGGCGGAACATTTAAATGAGTAAATGATAAAAAATAATAATAAAATCCGAAGGAACCCCTCCCCACTTTCACTTGGCCTTCGGGGAATAAACTATCGAATGACTAGGAAAGGGACACACTTTCTTTTTCTAATTCTCTTTATTCTTTGGAGTTTTGCTGTGGTTTGTTTGTTTCTGCCGAACCCAAGATCCCAAGTCCAAGGAAATGTTTTTAATACACGAAGATTTTTTTAAAAATGAATTTCTGATGAGTTAAGAGGCCAATACAAAATAATATATTGCAGCCTCACAAAATCAAACTCCTAGGGAACTCGCACTACTTTAGTTAAATCCCAAGGAATCGCCGTTGGAATTCAGACAGTTCCTGTCCCGAATGACCCCTTTCCTGCACCGCAGAGAAACACCGGCCCCTGACCGATTTTGTTTTTTGTTTTTGTTTTAATGGAGAACGTGTTTAAAAGTTGTCACCGTCCTACCTTTCTACACGCACACACACACACACACACACGCACGCACGCACACGCACACATCTTTCCCCCGCGTATTCCTGTTCTTTCTTCGCCTGTACTTCTCAATTTTGCTGGAAACGGAAAGGCTAGCTGAAGTGCAAAATAAACCGCCAACGTCTTTGACACTGATCTTACTCTGGTGCTTCACGTCAAATGCAAGGTGTGGGACGGGTACCATTTGAGTGTTTGGGTTGGTTTTCAACTGTTTCAGTGCTTAGAGGCGTTTTCTCGGCTTCCCAATGACTCTTCACGGGATTCGTGACCACTCTAACACGAGGGCGCCCAGGTAACGAGAGCCGCGGCCAGCCCCGGCTGGCGGACCCGCGGACTCCACCGCCAGCCTCCACACTGGGGGAAGGCGCTGCCAGGGCAGCCCTGACTCGGAAAAGTCTTCTGACTCCAGCTAGACCCCAAGCAAAGAGTGCAAATCTGCAATGCGGAACGACTTTAGTTAGTGGGGAGTTTGGGGCTTTGCTTTTTAAAGTACCGGATTGTGGGATTTTGTGAAAACAGCTCCCAGAAATGAGGCGCGGGGGAAGGAACACCGGGCGGGAAGGATAGCAGGAAAAGGTGGGTCTCTTGACATTCATTTCTTGCCGGAGTAATAGCACCTTCTTTCTGGTCAAATAAAAATCCATTCTTTTCCCTCGCTTCTCCCTAGAACCATCCCCACCCCCACCGCGCGTCATGCCTTCTCCAACCCTCCGCTTTGGGGACACTTCGGACCCGGACTGGAGCCCCGGGACTTCAGGGAACAGCGCTCCTAGGGCAAGGCAGAGGCAGCCTGAGTCTTCACGCCAGTGAAGTGATGCCTCAGTCGGGTTGTGTCTGCAGAATTGCTGCGGCTATTGTGTCAACTGAGGTAAAGTTAAATACTTATACTCCAAGTTGTTCTCATTTTGGGGGTCTGTTTTGAAGAAGTTCAGTGCGTTCAAACTTACTTTAAACATAAATCCTGGTCTGGGGGAAGCAGAATCTGCCGCCTGCCACTGGAGTTTTTTGAAAGGTTCTTCATTAAGCTCAGAAGTGGAGGGGAAATTATCTGCAAACAATATTGGTGCATTTAAATATGTATGCATATGTATGTGTATATGTAAGACACCTATTTCGTGTATCTATGTCTATCTACCTATAATAAAGAAAAGGAAGCACACGACTCCTGTTGCAACTGAGTCCAAATAAAAATATTTACAATAAGATACATACTCTCGCAGATGAAGAAAATATGAAAATCTCATTGCATTTGTCTCAGTTCGACTTAATGAAATTTGGAGACGTTGACAGGCTGGTCAATGTTCTAAGTAAATTAATGCAAAAGTCCTTAGGAAGAGACCGAAAACACCTCTTGCCATTAATCTTAAAGCACTTGAAGAGTATGATTAAAAGAATGGGATCACTAAGCATTATCATTTCAAATAGCTGTTAACTGTCTCCACCCCTTTATTGTGGCAACAAAATAAACTCTCCATTAGGAATGGTGTTTCTTCCTTTTTTTTTTATCTTTGTTTTTGTTTTGCTTTAAGGGCAAAGAAGGAAAAATAGAAGCAAAGAAAACCATCTCAAAAGTCTTATCTTTGCTGCTGTTAAAAGGCTGCTGTTCATTTCTGATTTCCTCCTCTTTCACGACAAAGGAAAAAGGAATCGAATAATGTGTCTACATTTGAAGAGAAGAAAACACTACCACAGGGAAGGTGCATTTGTTTTATTTTCTTTTTACCTGAAAAAAAAAATTTTAATACACACCAATTTAGTGAGTTGAAAGCTGTGAACATGTAAAAGATGCTCACTTGTCCATGTCTATTTGCTGACTTTTGCCACTTGAATTTGGTAGGCTTTTGTTTCAAATAGAAATTATGGAAAGTGAATTAGACACTTGCCAAGGAACAATATTACACTTTGAAGCAGACTCCACCTAATTGTGTATTTGAGTGCTGGCTCTGTGTGTGTGTGTGTGTGTGTGTGTATGTGTGCGTGTGTGTGTGTGTGTGTGCACGTGCACTATTTGCCCCTAATAAACCTCAAAGCCCTAATTAGACATAGAGAGAGTGGGGGTGAGAACCCTATTACTGGGCATTCTGACAAAAATGGAAGCAGTGCCCCTCTGCTCTTAGAACCATAGGAAAGGATACCCCCCAAAAGAGCAAAAGACTGTTTTCCTTTAGAGCTCTGAGTTGGGGAGACCTTTCAGAGAAATACACAGCAATTAATATTCGAGAAAACGAATGCTGAAACGAAGGGCGGTGGCTAACAAAAAAACTAAACCATGTTAAAAATTAGTCTTCAAACCCTGCAAATTTCCAGATGCCACAGAAAATCAATGCAAACGCGCGCCCTCCTAACTGAGAAGACAGCTCTCCTGCTGGGTGATGTTTCCTTCCAGTCGCAAGTGGTGTTGGAGCTCCCAGGTCCACTGGAGCGGTGGGAGCTGTTACCCTGAGGCTATCAGGAGAGGAGGTGGAGGTGTCGCCCCCCTCCCACCCCCGGCCCGCTTCCCACCTGTTCCCTCCTCTCCCAGCTGGGACGCGGGCGAAGCAGGGCCGACGCGTCCGGAATCAGGGGACCGCGAGCTGAGGCTCCTACCAAACCTTGGAAGAAACCCGAATAGGCCCCCGGAGGCCAAAGGGATGGAGATTTTGGGTCCAAGGGACACGAAACAGCCTGCTCGGTCCCAGCGCCAGGCTCCCGTGCCTGGGTGGACAGAAGACTCATAGGCCACATTGATTCCGGAGCGACTGTGAAATGCAGTGGAGGGGGACAGTGCACCCCCCACCCTGCGCTAGTGTGTGTGTGTGTGTGTGTGTGTGTGTGTGTGTGTGTGTGTGTATGCGTGCGCGCGCGCACGTGTGTGAAACACGTGCACTTGGAGCGGGCCTCTGGCCGCAGACATCAGCTGGGGAAGTTCACCCGCGTGGCTTCCCGGGCCCTGAACCCACACTTTGTCTTGTTCTCCCCTCCCTCCACCGTCCTAAGATACCCCAACAGCTCTTGCAATCCTGGCCACGACTGCACAGGTGTGGTGCCTTTAACTCGGAAGTGCCCGAGAAAAGCTCCCCCGGCGGAAAGGCGGCAGGGTTGGGAGGGGGTAACGGGTTGAGAAGAAAGATGGTACTTATAGAGCTCAGACATCCCTATCTTCGAGTAATTGTCATCCCACTCAATCTTTTCACCCTGACGCACGGTGTCTAAAAAAGCAGAGATTGATTCGCGGGAAAATCGGGCTTACGAAAACGTCGGGGTTTGACGCTTGAGGGCTCTTGAGACCTGCGCAGGCTTTGCTTAGATTCAAAGGTATGATTTTAATTTTCTTAATGAAGGCGCGCTCTAGAGCTCAGCTGGTAATGGCTGTGCTGAGTTTAATAGACTTCTGTCGAACAGAAAAAGACGGATAACTATCGGTTATAAGTAATCTGCTCTAATGCAATTATTTTCCCAGGTTCGAATGTCATTGTGCAGAGAGGGCAGGAGTGAATTAGGGCCCCGGGGACCACAGACGCGGGGCAAGGAGACTGCCTGAAATACGAGCCGAACCTGTTTTGTGAGACGCTCTTGGGTTTAGGGGTCGGGGTCGAAGGCTTCAAAGCCCTTGGTCTGCACGTGTGAAAACTCTGTCTCTCTGTCTCCGCTCCCCCCTTTCTCTCGTTCTCCCCCTCTCTTTTTCTCCTTCCCTCCCTTCCCCGCTTTCCTTTTCTCCCTCTCTTCCTCTTTTCATTTCTCATTTTCTCTCTAGCTCCCTCTTCCCCTTTCTCTCCATCTCTCCCAGACTTAATGTGAATTTCCTTTTCCTTTCTTTGTGTATTTCAGGCAAATCCATTCAGTCCAAAGTATTTCCCCAAAACATGCTCACACAAAAGTAGGCTCTTGGAATGTGTTAACTCATTCACCTTTTGAAATACAATAAAATTGGGATGTTTAAGATATTGATGATGCTGTATACACACACATAGTCAATATATCAGGAGGATTATTGCATCTAAATACAGAGCCAATCAAGGTCACTGTCCAAAAGTAGCCCCTTTTTAGATCTAACACAAATGATCATTCCTGGTAGTTTTTATTTGAAATGATCCAAGCTTGTCTTAGCTCTTCACTTTGCCTGGTAAACACAATCTCAGGCAAACGTGATCAAAAATAAAATAAAATAAAAATTATAACGTGATTCATAATTTCCCTTTTGACAACAAACAAGCCAGACTGTTGGAAGGAAAACCTTGCGCTATCACCTAGACGAAAGATTTGAAGGCAGGCAGGCCCTAAGACCACAGAGGTGAGCCCTATGCAGCTGAACCAGGCATCGTGGAGCCCAGCTCTCCCGTCTGAACCTCTGCCCAAGGCCATTCCAGTCTCACTTTCTCTGCTAGCCTCTCTCTCCAAGTCCTGGGGAACAAAGAAAGTTCTTGGAACTGGCCCACGAAAAGGGTTAAGTGAACCCGAAGCTATAGGTTTCGGTTCCAGACCTGGATGGTGAGGGAGGGTAGCTGGGTCTGGTGCATCTTTTCACTCAGGATCCACAGACTAACTCAGCCCATAATCCCTTAGTCTGTAGATCCCCTCTCCTTCCCCCTACTACCCTCCTCCTCCTCCCCACCACCCTCTCTCTCTCACCTCTCTGTTACACACACTTTCCGTGACCTAGGCTCTCGTGCACACAAATATCCGCAAAGCTCTGTAATCACTATCTTCTGGTCCCTGACCCAATCCTACCCAGTGCCCCCTGCCATGGCTCACTTTTCAAATAAACAAATAAGAAACAAACAAATACCATACCATACCATACCATACCATACCATACCATACCATACCATACCATACCATACCATAACAAAAAGGAAAAAAGGCAGGAAGAACATAAAAACAAAAACCCATTGGCAAAACTCCTTAAGTCCCCCTGGCAGAGGAAGAGCACGCTGGTGTCCTGATGCAGGAACTTGGGGTCCTGAGGGCAGGGAGGCCTCTTGCTGCTGTGGGCCTGCTGCAGGCGCCCCTCTTAAAGAGTGGGGGTTGGGTGACGGGGGGTGCTTTCCTCCTTCCTCTAACCTCAATGCTCTCCCCTGGCTGTTGGGAAGGGAATTAAGAAGAGATCCAGTCTTTAGACCCCAGTGACTCCCAGGACCTGGAGAAGCTGCACGAGGCAGGCACCTCCCAGGTGCTGTGATTTAACCGTCTGAGGCCCCATGTCCAGGAACAGGAAGGTCTGCGATCAGATGAGTCCTGCTCAAACTTAAGTGCTCAGCCTCCAGAGCCCTTTAAAGACAGAGAAGGCCCCTAGGCAGTGCTCAGGCCCAATCTGCTCCAGCCTCTGCTGGGAAGGTGTGGTCAGGGCCACTGCTGACTTAGTGACTTGAGGTGGCACCAGGGAGGGAAGATCAGCCTTTCAGTTCAGGAACAGATTTGGAACAGAAGAAGCAGAAGAAGTGACTGTTAGAGTCCCCTCCCCGCAATAATTCCCACATGGATAAAGTCCCTCTGTCATCCCTAAATCTCTCTGTCACCCCTTCAGCACCTTTCCTGCAGGAAAACTGCTGTGTTGTGCTGTTTTGGTGGCTTAGGAGAGCAACAGCAAAGACTCAGAAAGCCCCACAGCAGATCTAGCTCTGCTTTTGAAAAGTAGGTGGGAAAGGAGTGGAAAGAGATTCTACTACCCAACAGTTAGTTTTCCAAGATCCTCCTCAGCCAAGCGAGATTAAGAAAGGCTTGATAGAGAGGGAGAAAAAGCCATGTACCCTGATAGTCCCCAGGAAGATACAACTCTAATCCAGCTGAGAACTCCTTGCAGAGACTCTCAGCCTGTGCCACTTGTCCAGGTGTGCCACTCTGTAGTCTCTCCCAGTCCATTCTCACCCTTGAAGCAACTGACATATAAAGAATCAAAAGAGTCAGGTTTGCTTCTCTTTCATTTATTCTCCTATTTTAAAAGTCAGTAGAAAAAAAACTTTTTTTTTTTTGTAGTAAATCAAATGTGTAATTATAGCTTATAGACTTAAGGCATAAAAAATTATCTTTTATTCAGTTGTACTTAGATGTCTTAAAAGGACTGCCTTGAACATGGCATGCTTTTATAGAACAAAACACTTAAATACAGGCTTTAAAGATAAAGAACACTAAGAATGCCTAATGTCCCCTTCCACTGCCTTCACATAAATGAGGGGGAGCAGAGAGAGAGTCCTAAGAATATCTCAGGTGACAAGAGCTCCTAAAACAAACTAACCCATACACAAAAGTCACACATTATTGCACCTTTAAAGTAAGTTCTCCTAAAAAAAAGTTAGAGGCAAATACCTGATTGCAAAGTTAAGATTTTTCTGCTTATTTATTTATCCAGGTCTCTTAATTTTAATACAGATTAAATAATCTACTAAGAAGGGATGATAGTTCTCTTTATGACAGTGCAAAAGCAGTTGTTTATATTTTGAAGCTTATCCATTGGCCTTAGGACTTTTGAATGTTCAAGCAAAGTGTAAATAGAATAAGGTCACAGGTGATTGACAAGTTCAAGTTGCTCAGCTCAATTATCAAAATTTTATTTCTAAATTATGTTCAATTTTATTTTCCTGCTTTGCTATAAATGACCTTAGGAAATCCAGTGGGAGTGGACAATTTACACCATGTCCACAATTTATTTGTAAAGTCATTTTGTGGTTTACAATTAGATTTAGAAACAGCTATCATGCTAATTCAAAGGCAGTCACTTTTAAGACACAATAATCACTAAATTTTGACAATTTTCTAAAATATCTTGAATCCTAAACTGCAGGCAGAACCTGCAGACTGTTTAGAATCTAATTCTCCGGATATTGGCATGCTACATTCAATGTCTATCTATCCAAATAATGGAGTGCAATTCGAAAATATACACCTTACGACTCGCTTTCTACGTAATATCACAAAGTTCTCCTAATGCATTATTTAATAGATAACCAAGCTCTTCAGCTCAAGGCTCATGCTGCCACATCTGGAAATGCTTC